AACAACTAATTTTTCTAATTTTTCTTATAATTTTTTCTTGGCTAAATGAACATTCATACATATAATTTTATTATTAAAATTCAGGAGTTAGCTATTTTTCTGAGAATTTTTGAGATAATTTAATTGTGCTTGATAATATGATTCATAGTATATTAACCATTCTTTAGCAGCTAATATAGTTTGAAATTATAAGTTTCCAAAACATAATTCAAGCTTGCTTGTTTTTTTCAGTTGGAGAGCTGGCGCAGCCATTAAAAGCTCAGGCTCACAATTAAAATGACAAATTGAAGTTTTTTCTGTTGTTTCTTTTTTCTATGAGACAGGGTCAACCTGTAACCCTAGCTGGCCTGGAACTTGCTATATAGATAAGGCTTGCCTCTATCTCAGAAAAGTGTCTACCTCTGCCTCCCCAGGGCTAGAATTAAAAGTGTATGGACCATACCCAACTGCCTTTTCCATTATTAACTGAAAATCTAAAGACTAAAATAACAATAATACCTAGCACACAATTGTAATCCCAACTATTTGAGAGGTTGAGGCAGGGGGATTATAAATTAAGGCCAGACTAGGATACAAAGTGTGTTCAAGGACAATTTTAACAACTTACAAAACCCTACTTCAAAATAAAAACTAATGACTTCAGTAATAGTGTTTTACCATGAAGCTCTGGAAGGTAAAAAAGAGGAATAACAATGTGGGGGTCTATGGGGCACCACTGGCCAATAGCTTTCAAAGTGGTAACCCATTCCTGATTGTGAGTTGTTGGGGTTTTTTATTTTTCTAGTTATGGTGCTAGTAGAGGCCTTAATTCCCCGTTATAGAATAGCTCCTCTTAAACTCTTTTTTATTGTATGTATTTTAGGAAGGTTCTACAGCAGTAGGTTTTCATATGACTTTATCAAAAGATCTTTGGTGTTAGTTACCCTTCCCAATATTCCTGGAATCATAGAACATGCAGAAATCAGGTTGGTACTGACCTGGAAGTTTGTTCCTATTTTCTAGCTGTCAATGTACTAGAAGGTGTTATGAACACTACCAGAGGAGAAAGTAATCATTAATCTTTTATAATATTTTATTTATTATTTTTATTTTATGTGCATGCGTGTATTGCCTGCATGTAGATAAGTGCACCTGTGTCGCGCAATGCTGGTGGAAGACAGAAGAGGCTGTCAGAACCCCTGGAACTGGAATTATGGGGAGTTGTTAGCTTCCATGTGGGTGCTGTGATTCAAACCCGGGTCTTCTGTGGGAACAGCCAGTGTTCTTAACCGCTGAGCCATCTGTCCAGCCCCATAATCATCAATCTTACTTAGCTATAAGCCCCGAAAGCTACAAACACAACTGGCCTGGCAAGACAAGCCTAGTGGGGCAAGAGTGATACCGATGTTATGAGAGTAGACACTTTTTGATTGAATTTAAGGACCACTCCACAGGATAGAACACATACATGACATCAATACTAGGTCCAAGAATCTGTGGTTAGACAGGTCATAGATCCTAGGAGAGATCCTACTACTATGTCCGACATAGCATTAAATCAACTCTTAAGGACTTATTTTATGCCTATTATATCTATTTATACAGACTACCCTCATCAGAGAAGCTTCTTTTTGTAGTCGATGGCAATTAACACAGAGACCTACAAATGGTCAACACGCACAGAGTAAGAGACTGTAGAGTGCTCAGATCTATATTACACTATTTCCCCCAAGACTCAGAGATCATCTTGGAAAGGGAGCAGAGAGGTTATAAGAGCCAGAGGTGGTAGAAGACTATAACAAAAGTGTTTTCTAGACATAACAGGGCAGGTACACATATGAACTCACAGTGGTTGTGAGAGCACGCACAAGACATGCTCAAGCTGAAGCCAGGCAAGATCCCAGCAAGTAGAGTGGAAGTGGGCACAAAGCTCCAGCCCTAACCGAGGAGCTGTGGACAACTGATAGATGCTGGGAAACAGTTTTCATTAAGATGTGATGCTGGGTAAATTGACTATGCTCCAGGGAATGAACCCATACCCAAGAGCATTTAAGGAACACAAATTAGGCTCCTTGGGCTTTAAAAAAGGAGGACATGAAGTTTAGGGAGCAGGAGGTAGGAATGGATCTGAGAGGAGATGGGGGAGGAGCTGAATATGATCAAAAGATATTCTGTGAAATTCTCAAAGAGCTCATAAAAATACAATTAAAATTCAAGAACAACAACTAGTAAGTATATATAATTACTTTAACTAAAAATTAAATAAGACCTAGAATCCAGTGGTAGATTGCTTGCCCAGCATGTGTGAGACCCTGAATTCAATCCCTAGTACATCAAAATAATAATAATAAAAATAATAATAATAATTAATAATAACAATAAACAAAAGGTAAAGCAAAGTACAGTTGAAAATGGTAAAGGGTTTTACTTAGAGGAGGCTGAAAGATAACTCTGGGTACTTCAAGCTACCTTTTCTCCCGGTGTCACAGACACTCTCCAAATGCAGTGAGTATAGGAAGGGTAACCGTTTGGGAATCCTGGGGAGGAAAGATTGCCACTGGATTCTTGTAGTGTTTCTCCACATGCTGAGGGAAAAAGGCAGGAAATTATTCATTGACCTTTATGAAAGACATGGATATAATAAATAAAGTATTAGCTATGAACATGCATTTTTATTTTATAAAATGTATTTTATTTTTCTTCATTTTCTTTCTGTAACCCTTTATGCTCTCCAACTCCAAATCTTCCTGCTGCAGTCTCTTGAGACCTGGGTTTAAACATGTGTACCCCTCTGCCACACAACAAAGACTACCTTTCTAAGTAAATTTCTTTTTCTCTTTTAGAAGAATTTCAGCATACTTCATGGTATCACTAGAGATAACCATAAAATAAGATTAGACAAACTAGCACTTTTTAAATTCTTCCTCAATGTAACTTTTGTCACTTACTCTTCCAGCATCTTCTTCAAGGACACCTGTTCAGATTTAAGCTAGGGAATCCTATTTGTACAGCCCTAGACCCACCAGACAATTTACAATAATATAGTCAATGTGAACAAGTGGTGAAATTAGTGGTAATGTGCAGCAAAACTAATAGCAATTTCATAGTAAACTGATTTACTAATTCAAGGTTTAAAGATTGTTAATGATAACAAATAAATATCCAACATAGGGAATATCAAAATGACATACAGAATGATTCAAAATAAGAAAGAAAAAAAAGATTTATGCTATCTTGAAGAATACAAATTTTCCAGAATGTTCTAATCATGCATTTACTTTCCTTTTTTCATTGCTCAGACATAGAAATTGTCAGAATAACAAATGTATTTTTTCTATTTCTAAGCTTGTCTTATTCCTTAGAAATAATTTTCAACCACCTGAAATAGCAAGTTGCTAGTCATACAGCATAAATGTTTGTAATCATCCAGTCAGCATAACTGTATTACAGTTTTCCTGACACTTTTGGAAGAGACATGCTGTGCACAATCTGAACTTAAGTGGACTTAAGTCTTCAAGAACATCTCTCCACCGGAGCAAGTCTTCTTCATAACCTTCTCTGGGTAATCTGAGACTCCTTCCCTCTGAGAAAGACTGCATTCAAAACTGAGACATTACCTTATTACCAAGGGATAACTATCAGCATGTGAACTCTTGTCTCATCAAATCCTCAATAAATTATGAATGACTCTGAATATCTTGTGTTAAATAAAGATAATGACTCCAAAATGTAAAACAGTAATAAAAACAGTCTGAGATGATATAAATATTTATAGCATCCGAAAAGCAGATACTATGTTTATCCAACAAAGTAAATTTGAAAGAAGTGAGCAATGTTTAGTCTGATGAATCAGACAATGAAATGAATTTTAGAATAAAATGAAAAATCTCAAAATCATAAACACATAATTAGCAGTTACTGAAAAATCTAGGGTCCTATATTAAAGGAGACTTAGAAAAATCAAAATGTTTTAGAATTGTGTTGATACAAGCAATCTGCTTCTAAGCAAGATGTGCTGAAATGCTGAAGAACCACCGGAAAGTTGAACATGTTTAATGAAATAATTGTATTTCTCAGCTGTTTATAAGCAAATTCCGTGATGACTCAAACCTCTCCAAGCCACAAAGAATGTTTAGGCTGGATTTACTACAGATGAATTAAAAGAATAAAATGCTTTAATTCACAAATGTATACAAACACTATTCTGATACAGATTCCTTTAAAATTATGTATCAAAATATAAGTTAAAAATTATCACCCTACAACATACAGCCTGATTAGAACTCACAGAAGCCAAGACAATTTAATCAAAGTTTTAGTAATCATTTGCAAATTTTCTTCAATAAACATGGCTGTCCCTGGCTAATAGTCTCAACCACACAAAATGTGTACATTCTCAACTGCTTGTTAATTTATACTGAAATAAAAAACCAAACTTTAGCTGGAGATGGTAGCTTATATCTGCAATCTCAGGAACCTAGAAATATAGATCCTTAGACAGAGAAATTGCCTTGAGCTGGAGGCCAGCTGGGCTGCAGAGTGATGCCCTGTCTCAATGAAAAAAAAAATCATTCAAATAAACGAAAGAAAACTAGAAAATGACAAGACAGCAATCAATGTTTAATCAAAATGCTTGCCAATTAACAGCAAAGAGGGCAAACTTAAGTGCCAACACTGTTGCTTACTAACCCTGAAATCACAAATTTCAAAAGGTTTGGCTCAGATTTCTCACCTGAAAGCAGTTAGTCAATTAGACCTCAAGAAGTTGTTTTATAGAGGTCAGATATTATACTATGATATTTTTAACCTTAAATACATAATACATCACCCACAGAGAAGAAGACTGTGAAATAAGTAAGAATGTTTGTTGGATAAAGGGGCTTCCTCTGTAATATTTGAGAAAATAAAAATAAAGAACAACAAAGAGACAAGTTGTTGCTATTGTTACTATTATTTGTTGTGCTGGAGACTGATCCTAGGGCCTTGTACATATGAGGCAAACACTCTTATCACTGATCTATTATCCCTAGCCTATTTTTTGCTGTCATCCCCCTAAGCTTTTGGGGCTGGCTTTGAACTCATTCTGAGCCCAGGCAGGACTTGAACTGTCAATCTTCCTCCTTAATTCTCTCAAGTAGCTGGGATTCCAGGCCTGCCCCCAAAACTCCACAAGAGACAATTTACTGTGATCAGTGTTCTAATAAAACATTGTAAAGCCCCATTCAAAAGATGAAAAAACTTTATCATATGTTCTCTCTTTTTAATGTAACACTCCATATGCATCCTCCTTCAGCATAAAAATTCTACTTATGATGTAAACATGTACATGATGTATTTATTGAGAAAATACATAGATTCCAATTTTTAATAATGTAATTAAATTAAACATCCATCTACAAATAAATTTCCTGTCAAATGACTTAATTCCCAACAAATATTAAAAATTCATTTCCTCCAAATTTGTAGGAACATATTTAT